CCCCTGGAGTTGAAAATGGTTTATGGGGTTACAACATAGTGCCATGGAATTCATGTAGATACAGCCAATTTTAGCTTTTATCATTGGCAACTTTAAGATTACTAAGTTTTCTGTGGTTGGGGTTTTTTGGTCTTCCCTTTTTCTCCCTAACTCACTATGATGAACTAGAATCCCTATATCAGAAATGCACTTACAGAAAGGTGAACTAAGTCAGGAAAAGGCAGCCTTAAGTCCATGGTTTAGTGACAACTGTAAAAAATGATACTGATTGTGGTGCTTCACTCCCAAACTACAGCAGTACCCTAATCTAGCTAAAATCTGTTACAAAACTCACCTCCTTCAGGAAGCCTTCTCTGATCAAACTCACACTGTCCCTAAAACTCTCCCTCCCAAAACAGACACAGACAGACAGACACATGTATAATGACTTTAATCTGCATCCCCATGCCACTATACATTCCATCCATAGCAGATTATGCTGTCCTTTTCTCCCTGTATCATTCTCAGCAGTCTTAAGGGAAAGAAAACCCCAAATGAAGGCCCAAGAGTGGCTAGATAATATTTCCAAGATCACAGAGTGAGTCAGCAGTGAAGCTAAGAGCTGGCCAATTCCAACCCTTTCTATTCCAGTCCCCATGGCCTCTCTCACAAAGCAGCAGTACATTAGTTTATTACATTATCAAGCAATAAAGAAATTCTGCTCTGTTCAGAGCTTTCACACAGGCTGAACTTCACACATCTTTAAATCCTTTGCTCTCAAATCCACTGTTTCAGGTTCTCCCTCCATCTGGACTACTTTTCCCCTTCACCAATTTCATGTTTTGAATTTCAATAAATAAATAAGCTTATTTATGAGAAGGGGCAACAACCTGGGCTTTGGCTACCATGAACACAGGCTGTCAGGGGCCATAGAACTGAATTTTACAATGGAAAACTCAAGAGATTTAAATATAGACATATAGCAACTGTCACAGAAACTCCCAGAGGCAACCTTTGAAAACATAGGTTTCTATGTCAAAGCTAACATGTACATTGATTGTACCACTTTTTTCACAGATATACCCACGTGTCTGTAACTTGACTAACCCAACTAACTGTTTTTCCAACTAACCAGTTTTCTGCCCTAAATGCCCTGCCTGAGGGGAAAAACATAACTTGTGAAAAGGCACTGAGAAAAAGGGATGGAAAGCCATATGTGACGAACAGCAAGTATGCCGGTTTGACTGGAACACACTAGGTATGAAGAGGAGTAAGTAATATGTAATTAAACTGGAAATGCTGGCTGGAGTCAGATTGCAAAGGGCCTTCAATGCCAAAAAAGTTTGTATCTGATCCCACAGCCACTATAGTTTCTTGAGCAAGGAGGCGACATGGTCAAACAGCCAATTTAGAAATATTAATTTGGAAGATGTGTGAATTATATATTGAGGAAAAGAAAGATCTTAGAGGCAAAGCCACCAATTAAGAGGTTATTCCAGTGGTCCAGGAGAGAGGTACTGAGGGCCTGCAATAGGGTGGTAGCCATGTGAGTAGAAAGAAGGGGAAGAATGTGAGATATGTTCTAGAGATAGAATTGCCAGGTCTTATCAATTATTTGGATATGAGAGGTGAGAGAGGAGAAGGGACAGGATGAATACGAGGTTGTAAACTTGGGTGACTTGGAAGAATAGTGGTACCTTTGACAGAAATATGGAAGTTCTGAAGAAGGGTGGGTTAGGGGAGAAAGGTAATGAGGTTTGCTTTGGACATGTTGAGATTGAGATAGCAAAACAGATTTAGTTGCTAAGATCCTAGGGGCAGGTGATGAAGCAGGGCTGGAGCTCAGGAAGAATAAGAGAGTCAGCAAGACTGTACCTTCTCTGTCCACTACTGTTCTTAATCTAATGGCTATTATTTAATTGACCTAATTAGAGGATATAAGCATAGCTAGAGTATGAGGGAAACATTTTGATCATTAACCTTAGAAACAAAAGAATTAATACAAGCATAACTAATTATGTTTGTTACTAGGTTGAACATCGTTCAACATATAATGAAAACAGCAGGCTTCAGTTAAACAGATAAACCACTAGGTTGAGAACAGGAGTCACTTTCGTCTCATTGTCTTTTCACATAGAAAACTAAGCAGATGTTAACTTATGTAAGTGGTATAATTCACTTTACACAATAAATGTGCCTATATTTTTATGGAAATCGAATTTGATGGTAAATTCTACAAGGGATTTCAGGATTTAAAGGAAATCTATAATTCTTCTGTAAAGTGGGTAATCTTCCTAAGTATTGTCAAAATTGATATGTATATCAATTCTGCCACTTCTATCTTGCATGCATGCGCCTGTACGGAACTTGACTAACCCACCTAACTATACAGTCCTTCCGGTTTTCTGGCCCAAATGCCCAGCCTGAAGCGAAAAAGCAAAGCTCGAAGAGACAGAAGCGGGGACCTCGGAGGGTCTCCATTTCCCGGGTCGCTCTCATCCACATGGGCTCAGGCTCGGCGCTGCAGAGGCAGCCGCCACGCCACTGCTGTGTCACTCTCTCAGCCTTGAGTTCTGCTCTTACGTGGCTGGTCCAGTAGCTTCCTTCCTTCCCTCCTCTGGCCCCCTAACCCCGGAGCTAATCATTCCCCGTCTAGGGCAAGAAGAGCCAGCAGATTCGGGTCCAGGAGCAGGGGGAGGAGGGTCCACTCTTACATCGCAGCAGGGAGGGAGGGGTGCGACAGCTCTGATCTCCGCCAGGAGGGTGAAGTAAGGGCTGCTCAGCCACAGTTTAGCCCCCTAACCACAAACACACTCACTCCAATGCTATTCAGTTTCATACATCCTCAACACAACATCCCCCTTGGCTAGGGCAGGCTACCCCAGGCTGCAGAGGGGGACAGCGCCTGGATAAGGTGGGCTGGGCTACGCAGAACTGAGGGGCCAGTGAATGGGTTGATTCATGCCAGGCTCTGCTTGAGGCACTAGCGCTCTCAGGCCCGGGAGTGCGCGATTACATACTGTGTTGGTGCAAGGGTCAAACCAATCACGACTGGGAGGAGTTGTCACACTGGCACCCGAGCGCGTGCCCGCGGGGCTCCAGACAGCACCCCCCCACACCTTACACCCCTACCCCACCCCCTTTCCACAGCGGGCTCCTCGGGCTAGGGAACACGCTGTGGTTACATCGTGTGTATCCACTGTGTCTCTCCTTGCATGCACATTAGCTGTGACAGAGATAAACGAAATGCACCTCTCTCCCTGAAAACCACTATGAACTCTTTCTCCTCTCTAACGAATTTGTTCACCTAGGGATACACATGCTGCATAATGGGGGTGTGGGTAAACATAACTCGTCTAATGAGGCTCTTGTTAATGTATTTGAAGGAGAGCCTGCTTTTTCTTGTTTCAAGTGTTAATACGTTCCTAATTGGATCGCACACTCCTTATTACAATCCCCCCCCCTTTACTGGTGTGCATAGAAACACCTAAAAGGGGGAAGGATATCGTTAATTAAGGGTAATAGGATGCACTTTGCTGCCAACCAGGCCCCTTCCTCCACCCCACCTCAAGCTCTCAACCCCTAGACGCCAATCTCTAGGGGAAGCGCACAAGCCTAAAATTCAATTGAGCCAAACACTGGTAAATTGGGAAGGTTCCTAGTTCCAAAAGAAAGGAATTTGCATCAAACGGTCCTATGTGGACCAGATTAAGCATAAATATAAACAAAGCAGGAGGTCTCCAGGGACAGGCATCAATCAGCACAAAAGCTCCCTACCTCCACTCTTTTTGGAACCTCAAGATCTGAGTCATTCATCACCCTCCAGACCTCTCTCGTTTTCTTCCCTCCACTACCCCTAAACCCCCTCCCCCAGTCTCTAACCAAAGAAGGAAGGCTGGACTGTATGATGGCGATTTATCTAATTATCATTATTGATTGACTAATCTATTAATACGTAACACACAGTGGTCGTGTCAAGACAGTCACCACAGGGAGCTCTGTCTCGCCTCTTCTCTACTCCCAGCCCATCAACTAGGAACCTGCTCCTTGTGTCTCATTTCTCCAGGACAAGGCTATATGGCAACGATGCAAATCAAAATAAAATAAATGGCAACCCCCGTGCAGGACGCCAAAGACTCTGAATTCAGAGTGCAATTCATGGACTCGGCTTCCTTCTCGCCCGCCCCCTTCCCTTTTAAAAACCCAGCGCACCCAGTGGATTCCCCGCGGAGGGAGCTGCAGTCTAGACGACGTGCAATCGATCCACAGACACATCCATCCACCCGCGAGAACGAGATGGAGAAGGGGAGCACTTACACACATATACACAAGCACACGGAGGAAGAAAGAAAAGCAGATTTGAAAATAAACTCCCCGTGACTTAGGGGGGCAGTGGGGGAAGCCAGCGCCCGTCACTTAGCCGTGGCCCCCTCCCCCCATCCGCCACCCCTTATCCCACCCACCCCCTCATACCTCAGGATCAAGGAGCCCGAAACAGCTGCAAGTTTGGCATTAACACGGCAACTGCACGATGCAGCAGAAGCGGGTTCCAAAACAAAAGACGGGCGAAAAGGGAGAGAAATCACGCTGCCTCCCTCCCTCCCTTTGGGTCCTAACCCAACACATGACAGCGGCTACACAGCGCGGTCCACAGACTGCCAAGGCTCCCCCTACCTTAAGCGCACCCCCACCCCAGCTTTTCCTTCGCCCTCCTCCGGGAGGCTCAAGGAACCCATCCCTCCTCCACTAGACAAGGCAAGGCAAAACTAGGCAAGGACCCCACGACCCCCACCCCAAGCAACCCTGGGGGCGAGGGCTCCCCGGGTCCCCAGTTGCCCAGGAAGAAGAGGTGGATAACCGGGCGAGGTTTTGTTTCTGTTTTGGTTTTCCTCAAGTCCATTTGCATTCTCAAGCACAGCACCTAGTCCTCGTCCTCGTCCTCGTCCTCCTCCTCCTCCCCACCCCGAGGTCCTGGGGGCCACACCCCACGAGATGGAACGGGTCGGGCAGGAGACGCTTACCTCGGTTTCCCTGACTGCAGCTCCAAGCCCGAGTTGGAAAGGAAGAGGGAGGGAAGGGGAAGGGAGGGAGGGAGGGAGGGAGGGAGGGAGAGAGAGAGAGAGAGAGAGAGAGGCTCCGGAGATCAGATTCCTGCCTTTAATTTCATGGGTCCCGGCCCGATGGGGTGGGGGGTGAGGGTTTGGGTGCAGTGTAGAGGAGGAGAAGAGGGGAGGGAGGGAGGGAAGGGAAAGAGGGAGGGAGGGATGGGTGGGGGAGGGGGTGAAGGAAGAAGGAGGAAAAAAAAAAGGATCCCTGCTCTGACACAGGGAAAGAAAATGCAGGCGGGTGACGTTCCGGCCCCTCCTTCCCCACCGGCCACGTGCAAAGGCTTGAAAGGGAAGAGGAGCGCCGGGTGCCTGCTGGGAAATGTAGTCCGGCTTTCTTTCGCGGGATACAGGGCCCTGCATGCGCGGGGAGGCTGCCGAGCCGACCCGGGCTCCTCGATTTGCGCAGAGCTGTCCCAGTGCTCGGGTGCGCGCCCGCCGGGCGCCCTGCTCCGGGACTGGATGGATGCTGGAGACCTAGTGGGGAGGGGCGTGACTTAGGGGCTAGCGAAGCACAGTCCGAGCTCTAGGCGTAACCCCGAGCTGCGTCCTCTGCTCGAGGAGGGGCTTAAGGTGTCTCCTGTGCGCTGTGTTCTACGTCAGATGAAAGGAGCCTTTGTCTAGTTATCAATGATGAGGATAGACTTGCAGTCCAGAGGACACGGGTTCGAATGTCTTCTCACAATCTTATTAGCTGTGTGTGACCTTGAGCAAGTCACTTACCTTCTCTATCTTCAATTCCTTCATCTGTAAAATGGGGAGAGAAAGAACACCTCCACAATCCTCCAATTTAGTCCAATGCCATGTGCGCCAGACCTTTACTAATCCATCTCATCAAAATGAACCTGTGTATGTGTCAGATTCCTCCACTAGACTGTAAGCTTCTCGTAGTCTGGTAGAGCTGCCAGAAATTTCAAACCTTAACATGAATTACATTAACCCAGTGCCTGGAGCATAGTAGGTGCTTAATAAATGTTTGTTAAATTGAATGGAATTGTGAGGAACACAAGAGGTAAGATAATAGATGTGAAGTACTTCCCAAACTTTTAAAGTACCACATAAAAGTTAGTGATCATTATTATATTTTTCATTATTATTATGAGAGGCAATGTGATATAAGTGGATAGATAGCCATCCTCAGAATGCAGAAGCCCTTGTTTTAAGTCCTTGCTCCGACTTATGCTGGCTCTGTGGCCTTGGGCAAGTCACTCCTGCAATTGCATTGATAGAGAGTTTCCTAGCCTGGGAGTTGCCTATAATGTTGAAATCACAGGTACAAGTGCTATCCCTATTATTATTTTTTACTATGCTTTAAGGTTTACAAAGTGCTTTGCCCAGTGTCAGTATTATTACTCTCATGTTATAGCTAGAGTAAAGGTGTATTATTAAGTTCTAACATCTGGTTTTGATATGGGTGTGTTATAATTAAGGAGCACCAGAGGACATTAGCAGGATACTGTAATTATATGAGTACTTTCGCTCCTTTCCTCAGGTTAAGGAAGGAAACTGGAGGCCTGGATAATTCAACCCTGGATATTACAAAAATCATTTAATTAAATGAAATTATTGAACCACATGGTTATTGATTGCCTACTACTAAGCAACATGCGTTTATCAAGGCAACTTGGTATAGTGAATAGAGAAACAGACTTGGAGTCAGGAAGATGAGTTGGAATTCTGCCTTGGACATTTTTGTGATGCTAGATAAGTCACTTACTCTATTGCTCCAGCCTCCAGTTCCTCCACTGCAAAATAGGGATAGTAAAAGCATTTACCTCCCAGGGTTCTTGTGAGGGACCAAATGAAATAATGTGTGTAAAGTACATTGCAAATCTTAAAGTACTCTATAAATATTACCTATTAGTTGCAGTATCTGTTGTGTGCCAGGCACAATGCTAGGCTGGAGATTCAAAGATAAAAATAAAATAGTCCCTGGCCTCAAAGATCTTAAATTCTACCATGCGCAAAACACTGTGTACATAAAACGCAGTACTTAGCTCTGCCTTCCTGGAGGGGTCTGTAGTCTGTTTGGAGAAACAAAACTAGACACGTGAAGGAAGAGTAAAAAATTAAGTACTACATTGTGGGGTACCAGCCATAGGTGATGGAGAAATCCAGAGAAGGGATATATTAACAAGGCTGAGTTGTCAGAGCAGGCTTTATAGCAGAAGTAAGACTTTTGCTAGTCTTTTGAAGAATATATACTATTACTAGGCCTATATTCCCAAAAGATCAGCTAGGTGGCACAGTGGATAGAGTGCTGGGCCTGGAATTAGGAAGACTCATCTTCCTGAGTTCAAATCTGGCCTCAGACACTGACTAGTTGTATGACCCTGGACAAGTCACTTCAATCTGTTTGCTTCAGTTTCCTCATCTGGAAAATGAGCTGGAGAAGGAAATGGCAAACCGCTCCCGTATCTTTGCCAAGAAAACCCCATGTGGGGTCATGATTGAACAACAGCAATACCCTTGCCCCCAAAGTCAAATAAAGAAGAAAACAATACATGTGTATGAAAATGTTTATACCAATTCTTCTTGTGGTGGCAAAGAACAGGAAATTAAGAAGATGTCCTTCAGCTGAGGAATAGCTGAACTAATCATGGCATATGAAAGTAATGGAACACTTTGTGCTCTAAGAAATTATGAAAGGGATGTTTTAGAGAAACCTAGGAAGACTTGTATGAATGGATGCAGAATGAAGTGATCAGAATCAGAATAATTTATGCTATAACAACATTACAAAGATGAACAACTTTGAATAACTTAATATCAACTCAATGACTAACCGTAATTACAGAGGATGGATGATGAAACATATGCTCATGTTGCAGAATGAGACATATTTTTTAGACATGGTCACTGTGGGAATTTATTTTGCTTGGCTATTCATATTTGATACAAGGGTTTCATTTTTCTTTTTCCAATTTGGGGAAGGGGGAGTTAGGAAGGAGAGTAAATAGATTTTTGCTCATTTAAAAAAACTGAATTTTAAAAGGATATGTCGAATTTGAATACATGAATAAAGGCTTTGGAATAAGAGGATGAGGAGAATATGATAATCAAGGGAAGAAAGGAAGACTGAGCATGACACATATAGTCTATGAACATAAGGAATACTCTTTGGTAAATATTACATCTTTAACAATAGGTATTTCTTGAAGAAAAGAGTTTAGACTTTCTATATTTTGGCATTTGATTTGTCTTCTGAATTTACTAAATATTTTATAAGAATACAATAATTTGCTCAAACTAATTATTCTACTGTATTACAAATTCTTTGAGGATAGCGACTGAGTTATATTTATCTCTATCAGCTCCCAGGACCTTGTACTTTAATAGGTAGTTTCCTGGGAGTAGGGGTGGGGGGTTGGAAAGGAAGCAAAGAAGGAAGGAAGGAAGGAAAGAGGGAGGGAGGGAGGGAAGAGAGAGGAAAGAAGGAAGAGAAAAAGATAGAAAAAAAGAAAGAAGAAGAAAAGTAAATGAAGCTATCTGTACAAATTTCACTGCCTTTATTATGATGTTTCACACTGGCCTGAATAGCCATATGGGGGAAAAACAGGATTAGGGAGTCATATATTTTGCTTTCCTTGAAAGTAAAGGGAAAGCAACCCAAAGTGGGAAGAAAGGCTAAGCAACTCACAGAAAGTGAAACTTCCACCAGTAGTAATCATTTAGCCCCACCTCTCAAAAAAGACAGTCTCTGCCCTCGATGAGCTTACATTCTAGCCAGAGAAAGCAAAGTGCAAAAGAGAGATGAAAAGGAGAGGGAGACAGAAGAGGGGATATCAATGAAGTCAGAATAGTGAGAAGCATAGCCAGGAGGGGAATGGAGGAGAATAGCCAGTCTAACCAACATGTCCATTCTTGGGTAGGTTTCCTTACTTCACCCCTCATTCCCGACATATGTGCATTCTAATTGGTGATTTCTGAACATTATACCTTAATACAAAAGAGTATTCTAATAAGGGGAATTTACTATTTGGGGCTGGGGTCTTTGTGAACTCCTAAAATCACACCTGAGAGGCATATATCCTACCTCCCCTATGGGAACTGGCCTTGTCTTACTACTAAAGAAATGGGAACAGACATTTTCTGAGTCTTTTCCTCAGCTTGGGAATTGGGCCCTCCCTCCTTCCCGTTCACACACAACCTGCAGACTCAGGTTAAAAACAACCCTGCCAGAGGAACTGCCTGATGGAAAGCTAATGAACCAGAAATTTCAAGGGGGGGGAGGGAGGCAGGGAGGGCCGGGAGAAGGGATCACAATGGAATTGGCTTAGTTTCTGAGCCAATGGAAGATTCCAATTGTCAAAGACAGGCTTTGTTTGGGATGTCTCCAAAGGTGTCCAGGAAAGCAAAGTCTGAGATTTTTGAATTGATTTTAAACAATTGAAACTTCCACTATCACTTCCTTAGTTGCTGGCAAAAAAAAAAAAATCATTCCTCCTCATCGCCTCTTTCCCTTGCCCCATCTACATCTCAGCTAATCATCCCTAGAAGAAATAGCATCCATTTTCCAATCAAAAGGTATTAATTAAACATTCAGCTATGTGCTAAGTGCTAGTGATTCAAGAGAAGACATGGTTCCTACCCTCAAGGAACTTACAAAAGATTCCTGTTTAGGGTAAGGGGTATTGTAGAAGGGGATAATTATATACTAGGTCAAAGACTGAATTGAATAATTTAGCATTGTAGAATATCAGATCTGAACAGAACCTTAGAGATAAACTAATTCAACAGGCCAAACTCCTTCTATTTTATAGAGATGGAAAACAAGGCTCAAGGAAGATAACTGATTTTTTTATGGCCACTTAACTACTCATGGAGGCATCTTGGTGTAATAGATTGCTGAATACGGAGTCAGGAGGACCTGAGTTTAATCCTGCCTTGTTAGCTGTGTGAATTGAAGGCAAGTCATTATACTTTCAGTTTCAGTGACTCCATATGTAACATGGGGATAATAATAACACCTACATCATGAGGACCCAATGAAATAATGGATATAAAGCACTTTGTAAACCTTGAGGCACTATATAAGTGTCAGTTAGATGAAGAGGAGAAGGAGAAGGAGGAGGCAGGGCAAGGACTACAACCTTTTCCCATTGCATTGTTGTTTCTCAGATACCTTCCAAGCTTTA